TAGCGCGATGCAGGGGCGGGGCGTCGCAAAGCGCGGCAATATATGTGTAGGACGGAGAACAGCGACCGGACGTCCAAGAGGCAGGTTGGCATCCTGCGCCCTGGTTGCGGAGTGGGACGGGGAGGGGAGAGCTGGGGAGGGAGGGGCGGCCGGAGAGGGTCGGGGAGGAGACAGATGGGAGAAAGAGTGGGGAGAGATGCGGAGAGGCGAGGGAAAGGGATTGGAGGGGAGGGGAGGGGCGGGACGGGAGGGCTGGAAGGGAGGGGCGGGGAGGTATAAGGGCAGGCCGGAGAGGAGGTGAGAAAAGAAGGGGGGGGCGGGGGTGTGTCAGTACGTGGGCGGAGATGTGCAGGGCGGGGCGGGACGGGGAGGTGGCGGGGCCGTATAAATTAGAGGGGCGGGGCGGTACGAACAAGGCGAGGAGGAGATGAGAGAGTCGACAGAGAGAGATTCGGGGCGGAGCGGAGAGGGCGAAAAGTGGCGGAGAGGGCGTGGCGGGGCGAATAGGGGCGGGCGGGCGGGGCGTGGCGGGACGTGGGGGCGTGGCGGGGCAGGGCGAGACGGACGGAGAGAAGGAGGCGGGGGGAGAAGGGCGGGGCAGGGATAATAGAGGACTGGGGGGCGGGACGGGGCGAGGCGGGGGCGGGGCGGGGTGCGGGCGGGAAAGGGCGGGGAGGGCGGGGTTGAGAGCGGGGTTGGGAACGGGGAAGGGGGGAAGGCGCGAGCGGGGGTGGGCGGCCTGAGCCGGGGAGGGGCAGGGCGGGCAGGGCGGGGCGGCTCACCTGGCGCCGTAGTCCTCGTGCGCGGCGTCTTCGGCGTCGCGCGGCGCCTCCAGGAAGCCCTTGGAGGAGGCGCGCCGCACCCGCCAACTGCAACACACACACACATCCCATCCGATGCCCCGCTCTGTTCCCCCACGCGCTGCAGCGCATAGCCATGATCGGGCCACAATTTATTCAACGAAATTGGGGAAGATATAAAATGTTGAAAATTCGATTTATTCACGCCCTCAAATTCCCGAGGTTTTTGAATTACCAACGCATTCAAATCACTGAGGTTTTTTTCCAATGACCTACGTGCTCGAATTCGCACCGCCACAGTATCAAGCAAAGGCTCAGATATTCCATCCTTAAAAGCACAATGAGTTGCAGGGAAAATCCATAGCCATAGTGGGACAACAATATGTTCAACAAAATTTCGAAAGAAATAAAATATTCGAATTACTGACAAATGATAGAGGTCTTTGAATTACCCACACTTTAGAATTACAGAGGTTTTCCAACGACCTCGTATTACAGGCTTTTCGAATAATACCGTTACGTTTCCCGTTACTTTTCAAATTATCGATATTTTCGAACTACATGAGGTTTTCAAATTCCATGGGACATTAAATTGCTGCTTTTTTTTAAAAATTAACCACGCTTTAGAATCACAAAGGTTTTTGAAATTTCGAATTATTTTCAATGCTTTCGAATTACCAAGGTGTTCGAATTACATGAAATTTTGAATTATCACGTTTGAATTTTCGATGCTTTTGAATTACAGAGGTTTTACCATGTCACATGTTTTCGAAATACAGGAGTTTTTTTGTATTACTGTATTTTCAATTAGCCATACTTTTCACTTACAGAGATTTTTGAATTACAAGGGATGTTGAATTGCTGATGTTTTCAAATAACTGTCTGATGTCAAATTATTGAGGTTTTTCAAATTATCGAAGTATTTGAATTGCCAATGCTTTAGAAGGGCAGATTTTCCAATTATCTGTAATTTGGAATTACAGGGGTTTCGCAGGGTTCGAATTGTCGAGGTGTTTGAGTGGGCGAGGCGTTGGTGACTCGCCTGTCGAGGTGTTGGGGGGGCGGCCCCCACGAGGGCGCGTGGCGGGGCGGCACCAGCGCTGACGGCTTAACGTCCACCGCCTCCGCCGCCGCCGCCACCGCCGGGGGCGCCTCCAGCAACGCGTCCCCGAACGCAGAGTGCAGCCCGTCCAGGAAGGGCGCCGCCTCCAGCGCCTCCGCCGCCGCCTCCGCCCCCACGCCCGCGCGCTCACACGCCAGCTCACGGGCCTGCGCCGCACCGCACTATCCTCATAAACTTGCACCATGGTTTATATCCAACAAACAACTACAAAAAGAATTGAGTATATAATCCATCATCAAACACATAGCCCATCTCTCCAATAACTTTTATTCAAATATCAATTCTATACCACACATCAGCCAATACAACCTCGCCTCAACAGACTATACTCCAACACGAATAAAACACCGTTATCCTTTAAATGCCTTCCTAAACATATTTTCCAACAATTGTGAAGAGTAGGTACAGATTGAAGCTTCCTACCCCTTCCTGTAGCTAGAGTTAGTTTTTAGATAGGTAATAAGAATATTTGTAAGTCATACAATACATATGATAAAGTGATGTAACTGAACTATGTACTTCCGAATGAAAATAAATAAAATTTTTAAAAAAATCCTCATAAACAACAAATTGGTCCAATCGGTAGGTTCTGAAAAGGGTCGTAATAAGAGTTTACGTAACCAGGGCGATGACACGTGATTCACGCACGAGTGGAATTGGAGTCCTCGCTAAGCTCGAACGACAGGGAAACGAGTGCGGGAATTACCTCAAGCCCGTGTTGCGTATACTATTTTTTAATTCGCCGTGCGCAAAACACGATATCTCGTGCTTATTTTCCGTGTGCGAAACACCTATGTTTTTCACTGTGTGCAAAACATCTGCAACGAGTCGCAATTGTCTTTCGTCTTGACGACGTCTTTGTTTATTATTTACAAACAATAGTATTACGACACTGGCTGGAATCCATTTACCTTTGTACAAGTAAGGTATTTCTAGTTATTTGCAATTTAATTTCTTTATTTGATGCATTGTGTTTCTCTCACGGCGTGTCAAAAGAAAATAGTACTCGTAACACCGGCGCGAAGTGATTCGAGCCCTTGTTACGTAAATTATTATTATGTTACACATGTTGTATGTACCTAGGCTGTAGTTAAAACCCCAAGTTTACGACCTCCTAGACCACGTGCTAACTCCGGGAGGCCCGAAAGACGGGAATTTTTTCTGACTTTGTTTCGGTTTTATCTCTATAACTCTTTAATCTTCAATCCTGTAGAAAAGTAATAGAATTCCATTTTTAAGAGGATACAGTTTCCCACAACGTTTGTATGAAACATTTTTTCTAAACCAATTACCAAGCGAGTTACAGCTTTCCAAACAATTCGCTATTTTTTCATTTCTCTAAAATGTGTGCAAACATATGCACGTGATATTATTAACAATATAACTAAAGTTGGGGTCTGGGTGCATACAGAATACCCAAAGAAAACGTTTTTGTGCCATTCTTCCAGGTACAATTTACCTACCGACTGGACTAAATACTATGAGGTGTGATAAAAAATTCGGTAAATGAATTATTATATAGAGGAATTATTCTAAGAAGGGAAACATATGCACGCCATGCAGGGCTATTTCAAGCAGAGCTATTGCAAGAGGTAGCTATTAAAACTATTACAGTGGCAGTTAGCAATTACAGTGGCCAACCAGCAGCTATCAATGCGGTCCCTTCCTACAGTAATCTCCCTGCAGCAGCAATTGCTCACATTCCATCAATTTGATCTAGTATAGAGAGGTCCAAGAAATGTATACATTCTTTGACAATAAGTACAGTATTCATACGGGGAACATAGGGCTGTGATTCTTGCTTGCTATTTCAGCTGAAATTGTAGTTACATGTTAGTCAATGTCTGCGCCGATGATTTCGTTTTATATTTAAAAACAGCATCACACACGTTTTCGTTACGATGGCTCGGCAATACGATTTTTCGGCAGAAAAATCGTCGTTTTCCGGCACATGATTTCATCAATTTTCTTCCAATGAAATACCTTTCTAAAAGCGAGAAAGTAAAAATGCTTAGAATATAATTTCATGCCCTTCCCGTACGTTGAAAATTGCAAATATTTTATTAAAAAAAAGTAATATGACGTGATGATATTGTTACATATATTTAAAAAAATCAAATTAATAA